TTTTATATCTCATGTCTTGTTGGATGGATCTGTGCAACTAGTTCATGCAGTTTCAAAGGAACCTACCTTAGATTCTACTGAACTTCAGAATATTTTTTCATTCTAACCTTTTTATACATATGCAATTCTTGGCAGACACACGTATATATAAATAGTTCATGCACATTCACGGAATCTAAAATAGATGCTATACAACTTCAGAATATTTTATATATAGATTCAATTCTTGGTGTGTGCGTGTGTGCGAGTTGCGGTGTGTATCTATGTGTGTGTGTATATATATATATATATATATATATTATATAGAGAGGGAGGAAGATTAGAATAATATTGATGTAACTTTTATTGATTATTACACTGTTAAATAACTTTCAATTAAATGTAAATTTTTCTAAATTTATCGTTAGATTGAAAGTTCTTTACTCTTAGATCATCATATATATAAAATTTTATATTAATTCAAGATGATTTGATACTTCTTTCTTATAAAACAAAATTGACGTAATATATACAGTTCAAAATATATTAAAATATGAACACTTTGATTACCTTCAAATTATTGTTCAATTTTAACAAAATTAGATATAAATATATAAAGTGATATGAAGTTATAATTTAACAGTTGAATCAACAAAATTCATATTTAATATAAAGTTATTAAGTAGTATAATAGTTCATAAAAGTTATACCCATTATATTTAAACCCAGCTCATATATATATATAGGGGTTATAATTACATCGGTCTAACTTTTTCTAAGTATTGCATCGCTCAATAACTTTATATTAATTGTGAATTTTGTAAATTCAACCGTTATATTGAAAGTTCATATCACTTTATACGTAATTTTGTTAAAATTGAATAACTTGAAGGTAATCAAAGTGTTCATATTTTAGTGTATTTTGAAATGAATATATTACGTCAATTTTGTTTTATAAAAATGAAGTATCAAATCATCTTGGATTAATATAAAATATTGTATATATGATCTAAGAGATATAAACTTTTAATCTAATGGTTGAATTTATAAAATTCACATTTAATATAAAGTTATTAAACAGTGTAATACGTGTTATTATAACTTTCCTCATATAGATAATATGATAGTATCTAATTCTGAGCTTATTGAGTATGCTGCAGTTAGTGAGAATGGTGAGAATTGGAGTATGGGTCAAAGGCAGTTGGTTTGCCTTGGTAGGGTACTGCTGAAGAAAAGCAAGGTTTTGATACTTGATGAAGCCACTGCATCGGTTGATACAGCTACAGATAATTTAATCCAGCAAACTCTTAGGCAACATTTTTCTGACTCCACAGTCATTACTATTGCACATCGAATAACTTCTGTTCTTGACAGTGATATGGTTCTGCTTCTTAGTCAAGGTCAGGAAACACTGCTATTCTTCATAGAACTTTGATATTCTTTGTACCTTGATGTTTTTTGTCTGATTGGGTTAGAAATTGCTGCAGGAGTTATTGAGGAGTATGACACCCCATCAAATTTGCTAGAGAATAAGTCATCTTCTTTTGCTCAACTTGTTGCAGAGTATACCATGAGGTCCAATTCCAGTTTTGAGAAATCTGTTGATCACTGATTGAAACATACCAAAACAGAAGTTTCTTGACAATGACGATAATCTGGAGGATTACAGGAATTTTGTGAAATTTTTTATAAGGCCTTTTATTCTGCTGTGGAACACGGGCTGAAGCAAGAAATGATTTAGAAGGAAGATTTATAGTCTCTTTACAAGATGAAGGAAAGAAATTAAGAGGGAACGTTTGTAATTTTGGAACACAAAATCAATGTAATATTGGAATAAGAATTGGATTTTAAATAAATGCATATCAAGCTGTTCTAGAAGCTAAGTACTGCCAAATTATAATTTTATACATTTGATTTCACATCTGGATGGTATGGACATATTATAATGCAATCACAAATTGATTCAGATAGCGATTGACGACATTAAGTGGAATTGCTTCAAAGCATCCATCGAACTTCTTTCTAAAGAGATGACGTAAGTAGTTGTTTTTCTTACTAATTATTTAAGTGCTTACTTGCAAGTTTCTAACATGATGCGTGGGAAAACAATTGCTAATCCCTTAGCTTGTTCCTCGAAACTTCTCTAACCAATGGGCTTCAAGAGTTTACTTGTTACATAAATTACTCGGAAAAGGTGACTTTGAAACCTTCAAAGTCCCTGGAACTTTCCAATTTTATGATATATAATGGTATACAGATCTTTGTTTTTGCCTTCCATATAAGTTTACTCCATATCAAATTCAAACATTGTCCTAATGTTGGTTCTTCTTCTAAAACCTATTACATTCGTTGTAGTAACATTATGGAGTCTACTAACACGTTTAATCTTCAACACCATTGCTTACACAATTGTGTTGTTACTCCAAGGTCTCAAAGGTTCTGGTGAAGGCTCCCTCGGAATTTTTCAAAAAGTTGCCGAGGCCATCAAGGGGTGCTTCGAGTTGATCCTTCGGCTGATAATTAACTCATTAGATTCTATAATCTCAAAGGTGTTTGATATTCTTAAAGAGAGCATAAAAGGGTCGGTGGCTGCTTCAGGAACCGTGGCTGCAGAGCTCTCAGAGAAACTCAAGACTTCAATTGACGACTCTTTGAAACAAGTGCCACAGCTATTTGAGGAACTCTCAAATATGACGTCACAAATGGTGACAGAATTGTGGAACAACTGCAAGGGTGCTGTAGGATATGTTACAGAAAATACTTGACTTTAATTTTTGGATCTATTATGTATGATTTGCTATTTGATCATTTAGTGACAATAGTCAAGGTGTCCAAACTCCAAAGTACAAACCTCTGGACAAAGTTGTAGCCCTTGTTAACCCTTTTGTAAATTATCATAAGTATTATATTTTTTTGTTGCCACTGTCCACTTGAAAAGAATACTATAGTGTCTAATTTCTTTTATTAATAGATAATTTCTTCTGCTTTATGCTGAAATCTTCCTTTTGACATTCAAAATGATCATTTAGTTAACAAAAACATAACTTTCTATAACTATATGTATCAGCATAATGTGTAAGTAGAATTCTGACATTTTGTGACAGAAAAACAAATGATTTAATGCATAAGGTGTAATTTCAATCTATAATTTTGCTCTGAAGAAACTTACCTTCTCCAAATAGCAACTTGTGTCATTAATATATCAAGTTATTATTTTTTTTATAAATATAATATATTTATTAACTAAGTGGCTTTGTTATTTTCTAATTATAATAAATAAATATATAAAATTAATAACATTAATATTAAATAACATCTTTATTAAAACATACTAAATTTAAGAAGAAAAAATGTTTGATAAATGAATGATTTTTCTTCTGATTTTATGCCTCTTAAGAATGTAAATGTATAAATAATAATACCAAAGTCAACGGTGATTTACTTAAATACATACAAGAATGGATCTACTTATATCATAGTGGAGATGGAGACACTTGCCCCACTACCATTTCACACATACACAATTTTTTTAATCTAAAAAATAATATATTTTAAACAATAAAAATTATATTCTAATAATATATATATATATATATATATATATTTAAATTATCATATGTATAAAATATAAATTTGGAAGAATTG